TTTTTTTTTTTTTTTTTTTTTTTTTAAGAAATTAGTGTTTTTACTCTGCGATTGTGTATAAATATAAAAAACATTTCGATTTTTTCTTTCTGTTTGAATTTTTTTTATCCTGTTTTCCTGACCCCTTTCACTTTTTAAATATGTTTATTTATTTTATTTACCTGTTTTTGTTCTTGCCATGAAAATGGCCTTAGATGCCGACATGGAACAAAACAACCAAATGAATAACAAAACAAATCAGATATGCACATTAAAAATGTACAGTATTTTTCTTCCAAGAAAATGAACCAAAATATGCATGACTAATGCTTGTGTCTTTGTGTGTAGAATGTAACCTCACCATCTGTCAGAGTGAAGTGCCCAGCTGTGAGAATGGAGACAAGCTGGTGATTGGCTACAGCGCTCTGTCCTGCTGTCCCGAATACAGATGTGGTAAGAGCTCATGTAATCCTTACTCTGATTGGCTGTTTATTTGGTCAGTGGACAAAGGTCAGTCTTCTGATTGGTCTCTGCTAGAATGTGATCCGCTGGCATGCCAGAGTGTTCCTGCCCCGACCCAAGTGTACATTATTTGTGTACTGTTTTGAAGCATGTATATATAATTCATTTTAATTATACAAAGATACAGAAAATACACATTATGATGCATATAATACACATAAAATAATACGCACACACACACACACACACATATATATATATATATATAATTTACTAAAACCTAAAGACCTAAGCATTTGATAAAACATAAGATTAAAAAATTATAATTAATAATTGTGTACTGTTTGAAGCCTGAATATAGTATATATAATACATTATGTATATTCAATGTATATAAATACACAAAGATATAAAATTATTTATAATGCTTTAAAATATACATTATAATGTAAAACATACATAAACATAAAATTCGCCTGTGATATTATGATGGCATGCTATAGTAATAATTTGCATATGTTTTGCAGTGTGTGAGTCCTGTATTGAACCTATACCAGTGTGTCTGCCTGGAGAGATACTGGCTGTGGATGTGAACACCACTAATCACTGCTGTCCACAGTATCATTGTGGTAGTTGTAACAAACACACAAGCAGTCACTGTCCTGAAGTGCCCCGTCATTTTGTGTTTCGTAATGAAAGGAGAAACATGATGTGTTTAAAGTCTGTGTCTTGATCTTTCAGTGTGTGATATGAGTCTGTGTCCTGAGCCCAGTGTGAGTTGTGCTCCTGGAGCTGTGTTGGTGCAGAGACCCGTGCCGGACAGCTGCTGCCCAGAGACACACTGTGGTACTGGACACATGCATGCTTGCCTAGATATCTAAACAGTGACTTCCCTGTGACTTCTTTTTGTTTTGAAGATAATCAAGATAATTATACTTACTACAGAATAACCCTTACTCAAACTCTCAAATTCACCTTTTGACATTTTAGAAGGCATTATTTTGTCCCTTTATGTACTATTATTCCTTTTGTGGATGTTTATTTTTTTATTTTTTGTAGATTTAGAAAACTTCTGTGGATATTTTTTTCAACAGGTCTCTCGTAATTATAGCTAAACTAAAACAAGTACACAGATACAGAAATATTACACTAAAAAGTACGGGGCTATTGCCATGAGTACAGTGTAAATCGGATGATAATCATAGTACACTACAGTTAAAAATGTTGGAGTCTGTAAGATTTTTAAAGGAATTATTATTTAGCAAGGATACGTAAATTGATCAAAAGTGACAGAAAAGACATCTGTAATGTTACAAAAGATTTCTGTTTCGAATAAATGTCTATTCATCAAATTTCTATTCTATTCATAAACTTTCTATTCATCAAAAAAACTGAAATCACGACGGTTTTCAACATTTATAATGATACAAAATGTTCCTTGAGCAGCAAATCAGCATATTAGTATGATTTCTGAAGGATTGTGTGGCACTGAAGACTGGAGTAATGATGCTGAAAATTCAGCTTTGCCATCACAGGAATAAATTATATGTAAAAATATATTTAAATAGAAATAAATAATATTTCACATTAAAAATAAATGCAGCCTTGGTGAGTAGAAGAGACTTAAAAAAAGTAAAAATCTTACCCACCCCAAACTTTTGAACAGTAGTTTATGAATCCAGTAGTTAATGAAGTTCCATTTAATGCCATCACTTTAAAATGTTATTGCCAAAGCATTTTTGTATACTTACACACAGTTACATTTGTAACATTTGTTGTTTTTAGAATGTCAGTGTCACAACGTTACACTTCCTGTCTGCACTGCGGTGAGTGTTCTAAAATGTATTCTGTTTGTGTGAATATTGTGTATATAGTGCATTTTGTTGCCATAGTGAATTCTCCTGTAACCACCGTATTATACCGTGACCTTTGTGTTAAAGGGTGAAGTGAGAGTGGAGGAACCAGACCCCGACGGCCCGTGCGGATGCCCACTGTATCACTGCAGTAAGACTCAAACAAACACTCACACACTCCAAATGCCTCACTATTCAATCAAACTGAAACGTGTTTATGTGTCTCTGTGTGTATGTGTGTGTGTAGAGAAGGCAGACGTCTGTCTGTTTCAGGGTGTGACGATATTGAACCCGGGCCAGTCTATGGTGCAATACTTTGAGAGGGAGCTGTGTTACATTGTTCAGTGCCTCACACATAAAGACCCCAGCACTGGGTTCTATGCCATGGAGGTCACCACTGCCAACTGCTCTGAGAAGTGTGAACCTGTAAGTCACATGACTAATTCAGCTTTCAATATATGTATTAACAGATACTTCCCCATGTATTAAAAGTTGCATGATTTTCCATTACATTTATGAACATTTAAAAGGCACATATCATGAAAGGCAAAAACAAATAGCTCTTTTAATTAAAATATTTCAGTGTACAAATATAGACTTAGGTTAGTCAATCATAACAGAGGTGATCTACATATAGATGTCTTAGAGAGACAGTGGAAGACAGTCATGTAAAATTAAATTATATTGGATTCAGAAGTGAAGATTATGGCCCATTTTTTATTTATATATTATATTATATTATATGTACATTATTACATTATTTTCCCAATATTATGTGAATTTTTTTGTATTTATTTTTTTCTTAAATATTTTTTTATGTTTTGTTTTATATTTTTGTTACTACAGCATCAGGTTTATGTCCCATCATCTGATCCACATGTGTGCTGTGGCTCCTGCAAAAACATCTCATGCTCATATCCCAGTGAAAACGGGACTACAGAAGTATTTATGGTAATCTGCACTCACCGTCTGGTACTTTTTGTTAACCTTGTAAAGCCTGACATATGAAATCATAGTCAGAAAAATCTAGTTTTTTGAAATGGACCAGTTTATTGAACCTTTAGACAAAGTATTCAAAACAAATCTATATGCATATATGTTTTTTTGTTGAGTATCATATTTGAAACATCAGGCTTTTATGGCACATATGATAGAGGAGAATATGGAGCTTATTCTCGAGGAGGAAAAAACACCTACATTTAATTCAGGAGCAAAAATGTGCAATTTGGTACAGTTGCTGATATTCATATGACAAAAAAAAAAAGAGAAAGAAATGCAGCTTGTAATGTGAATCAGTGAGATCTTTATAACAGTACAGCAGACTACTCTCATAAATTGCATATAAATATTAGTTGTCACTCTATATTTTGCAATAATATGTCTTATTGGATATATTTAAATGCTTAGTTTTATGATCATATAAAATACAAAGATAATTGACATATGTACAAATAAACATTCCTCAAAAGGCTGATATGAATTTTTGATGCATTTAAACATGATTTGTCTGAAAAATTATGAACCTAAGTTACTTCAGTCCAGTAAGTTTTCATCTTGAAATATTACTACAATCTAAAAGTTATTTTTATGTTAACTTTATAACAATGAGTAAAGATTTCACAGCAAAAAGACACGTGAACCCTGAAGAGGAACGTTTTTACAATTATATACTAAAGATCCTTTTACTTGCTACAAAAGTATAAACTATATACAGATTTTGATCATGTTGATAATTTAGAGTCCACAGAAATTTGCATATTAAAGGGGTCATATGATGTTGCCAAAAAGAACATTATTTTGTGTATTTGGTGTAATGAAATGTGTTTATCTTAAGAATATCTCTTTGGGTTTGAGACTTTAGTCTTTGCAACTTTAGGGATCTTATCTATTCATGAACAGCTTGTAACACTCCAAAGAGAAAGGAAAACTTGAAATCGCATCATATGGCCCCTTTAAATATGATCCAGTAGGCTGTATAGGGTTAATGTAATCCTAAACTTATCCTTGAAACAAAACTTTCTGCATTAAAAAAAAAAACATTATTCACTGTATTTGTGAACATTTCCCTCTTTGAGGATGTGCACAAATGGATGTCAGATATGCTGGGGGCATTTTTCAGCAAATTTATCCCCAAAAGTATTGCTACTAGGTCAAAAACACACACACAAAACCACATCATTGTTTTCAGGAAATACGAAAAGCCTGAGCTTCTAATGCATTAACCTGATAGTGTATGTTGATGTGGTTTGCAGGCAGGAAGCTCATGGGTGGCTAACTGCACACGCTTTGACTGTATGGAGACTGCGGTAGGCGCAGTAGTTCTGGCCTCTGGAGTAGTCTGTCCTCCTTTCAATGACACAGAATGTATTCAGGTCTGACTAAAATCAGTGCATTCCTTCAGCTTTTTTGTAACTGTTTGTGCTGTTATGCTTCTAACCTCAGTGCTTTGTGTTTCAGAATGGAGGAGTAGTTCAGACGTATGTGGACGGTTGCTGTAAGACATGTAAGTATGTGTGTCTGGGGCTGGCTGTGCTTTCTGGGAATGCTGGGGGCTGTTTGGAACAGCATGATGGAGAAGCAGTGCTGGGCTTTACTAGCTGCTGGTTGCGTTGTGGTTAGATGCTCCCTGTTGTCCCGGGGGAAAAATGAGCGCTGCTGTACACATCTCACAGGCCTCTTTCATTCTTTTCTTCCAGTTTCAATTTCATGTGCTTTTCCTTGTTCTCAATCCCTCAATGATTGTATATGCCGTGATCTGGGGAGAGCACAAAACAAAGTACTTACAGGGTTTTTTGTGATGAAATACTAATGAAAGCCAGATTGCTGTACTGTTGTCCTCTCTATGCGTTCTTAACTTTATCTTTGTCTTTTGTGTAATCTGTTGCTCAGGCTGGATTTCGTGCTATGGGATTGGTGTTTGTGGTTTTTAACTGCCTCTTCACAAAGCTTGGTGCTTTACGTACAGTATAAACGGGTTCAGATGAATAACTTTCGCAAAGCTTGAAAGCTTGAACTACATTAGTAAAGCAATCAGACTCAGTAGGTACAGTAATAACTTGTGTTTGAGTTATTAAAATGGGTTTTTCAGTGGCGCATGGTTCAGTTTTTGATTAGTGACATCAAATGATGATATTTATGCAAAATCTGGGTTCTCACAGTACAAATAATACAATAAAATCTCACAATAAAATCTAAAAACATGTTACAGAAACATAATGAACATTTTCGTAGTCAATATGAAATTCTGCTTGTGTTTAGCTTGACATTTTGTGTGAATTCGTTGTTAAATGATTTTAAAAAATCCTTTTCCAGTTGTCTTTAATAACTACTAGAAAAATCATTGAAAAGTCATGGGAATTAATAGGTTAAAAGGTGTGGGAACCCTATATTTTGCACAATAATTAATTGAAATGCACAAAAACAAATATCTACCAAATATTTGAGCATTTATTGGCTTGGGTTGCATTTCATAAAAGTGTAAGCCTAAGAAAATCGATATATTGGTCTATCACTAATAATAACAAAAACATTTTAAAAAATTTTTTTAAATACATTTTTTGTATTTATATATACCTTGCTGTTCAAAATTTGAGGTCAGTAAAAGTTTTCGCAAGAAGTCCCTTATTCTCACCAAGGCTGCATTTATTTGATCAAAAAAGTAAAACAGTAAAACAGTAATATTGTGAAATATTGTTACATTTGAGAATAACTGTTTTTTTTTTTTTATTTTAAGATAATGGAAAATATAATTTACGATGAACACATACCCTATATTTTGCACAATAATTAATTGAAATGCACAAAAACAAATATCTACCAAATATTTGAGCATTTATTGGCTTGGGTTGCATTTCATAAAAGTGTAAGCCTAAGAAAATCGATATATTGGTCTATCACTAATAATAACAAAAACATTTTAAACATTTTTTTAAAATACATTTTTTGTATTTATATATACCTTGCTGTTCAAAATTTGGGGTCAGTAAAAGTTTTCGCAAGAAGTCCCTTATTCTCACCAAGGCTGCATTTATTTGATCAAAAAATACAGTAAAACAGTAATATTGTGAAATATTGTTACATTTGAGAATAACTGTTTTTTTGTTTTTTTTTTAAGATAATGGAAAATATAATTTACGATGAACACATGATCCTTCAGAAATCATTCTAATATGCTGATTTGCTGCTCAAAAACATTTATTAATATCTATTGGTTAATAGAAAGTAAAAAAACAGCATTTATTTGAAATAGAAATCTTTTGTAAAATTAAGAATGTCTTTATTAATATCTATTGTTTAATATTTAATATCTGTTTAATATCTAGGATTCTTTGATTAATAGAAAGTAAAACACAGCATTTATTTGAAATATAAATCTCTTGTAACATTATGAATGTCGTTACTATTACTTTTGATCAATTTAATGCATCCTTGCTGAATAAAAGTATTCATTTCTTTCAAAAAATAAAAACTTCTTACTGACCCCAAAACTTTTGAATAGTCGTGTATGTATTTTGTGCATTACTTTAAAACCAAGGAAAGCACATTGGAAAATGCCACTTGAATCTGTTCTTAATAAAGTCTTCGATAAGAGCCAGTGGTCTTGATTACATTGGCATGGCATGCTAGAGGGACTCAGGGGTGATTTTGAGGAAAAACTCAACATGTCTGGCATGTGCCTTTGCTGGCTATATTTGCTTCCAACAAACTGGTATGTATTTTTGTGTAAGCGGTGGGTCTGTGCATCTTTTTACGCTTGAGGGCACTTGAGGGCACAGGTTTGTGTGTGTTCGCATAGGTTTGGGGGCTCTTGCGTTTGTGCTGCGTGCTGGAAGCTTTACAAGCGACTTCAACCAAAGAGTTTGTTATCGACTTGTGAATTTGTGAACCTGCCCCTGTGTGTTTCTCAGGTGCTGGACTTGGTTTGTTGCCTTTTTCCGTTAGTCCAGTAACACCCACTGCTAGTACTAACTGTGATACAGGTACTCACTCATCTACTGAATTAACTTGATCTGTGTCTCTTAACATTGTGTGTTTTGAAGAAAATATTTGACACTTATCTCTTTCAGTCTTGCCGTTATTTTCTTTTAGTTTGAGTGACCTGATTAAGTATGTGAGACATTTGGCCTGTAATAGAAATTCTGTCATTATTTACCCTGCTGTTTCAAACCCTTACACTATTTTTTTTTTTCTGTGGAAAACAAAATTAGTTTTGAAGAATGTTCATGCTGTGGCTGCAAAAAAACGTATTTTTTATGAAATATATTTATTTTTTATTTTATTATATTTTATTATTAAAATAGGCTTCAATTTTTTTCATTTGATTTTACTAAAAAAAAAGTCTTATTGCACTGAAATGTAATCAACTTTTTTATTTTTTCAAAAATCTTATTTTAATAATTATTATTTTGTAATTGTTTTAGGGGGAGGGGGCTTGACAACGTAATGAACTATAATGAACTGTCATTGTATGGGAGAACAATGTCAGAATTTACATTTTTATTAACTGTTCCTTTAATACTCACACATGAACATCTGTATAACATTCAAACACAGACACAACTGCACTCATCCGCTGTCACTCCCACCATATCAAACACATAGCTGTGGAGTCTTGATTTATTTTCTGTTAAAGCCCCCTGATAAATCTTCAAAACCTGTCCTCCATTTCAACCCCCAGAATCTCTGTCAAAATGAATGAACCTGAAATTTATAATACTCACACTGCCCTCAAAAGAGTTGAATGCCTTTCATTTTATCATTGTTATTCAAACAAAAATTAGATTATTATGGGTGAAAAGTTCAGTTCTCAATGGTGCCACTTGATCAATGTCAGACAAATGTCACCATGGTAACTAACATGTCAATCAAGCAGAACCCCCAAGGTGCAGCAATAATAGTCACTGAGCCTGTTAATGTGCGTGTGTGTGTGTGTTTGACTCATTGTTATAACCACATTTAAAAAGATTAAACTGCACTTGGTTTAGCTGTCAAAACAGACCTCAGCTGACTACGTATCATAGATGAATTTTATGAAAATTGTGAAAATGCACTACCAAACATCGTTAAGCTCTTTTACATGTATTTTATTTTTTAATAATGTTATGGAACAAAATACTACATATATTGTAAAGTGCTGTATGAGTATGTTTAAAGTCAACATGAAAATGTCTTATTGCATGTTCCTGATCTTATTGCACATTCTTCCATATATATGTATAGTAAGTATATGCAACCTTTCTGAAATCAGGCCAATAATTATATTTTACTATTTTTTATAATGTAATACCAGTTAATGTAATGTTACAGCAGTAATAGGAAATAATAATAGTCAAATCCAGATGGATAAAAATGTACTGTTGACATGCTTTCTAGTTTTATTTTTTTATTTAATACATTTTAAATGTAATTTTTTTTAAATGTAATAATTTTTCATATTTTTTCTTCAAGTGTCCCATTACAGTAGTTAATTGGCTTCTAAATATTGTTTGAAGTTGACTTAAAACACATAATGTCATGTTTGTGTTTATTTGTAAGTCTCATTGTTTTTGTGTGTGTGTGTGTGTGTGTGTGTGTGTGTGTGTGTGTGTGTGTGTGTGTTTAGGCAAAGAAGATGGTAAAACCTGTAAGAGAGTCGCCATCAGGACCACCATCAGAAAAGATGACTGTAGAAGTAACGCACCTGTAAGTGTGAAAGAACACCATGAACACTACGAGCACTATGATCCTTATTGTTACAGCTATACATTCTGTTCTTTTCTAATTTATTCTGATTTTGTTGTGTTTTGTATTTGGGACTATTCTCTATTCTGTTCTGTTCTATTTTTGTTATGTATGAAATACAGCAGAATAGCGTCATCTCTCTTTATTTTTCTCTTCAGGTGACTGTGTACTCATGTGATGGAAAATGTCCATCTGCCACCATCTTCAACTTTAACATTAACAGTCATGCACGTTTCTGCAAGTGCTGCCGTGAGAACGGCCTCCAAAACCGTATCATTCAGCTGTACTGCACTCGAAATGCCACTACGGTGGACTATTACTACCAGGAGCCGATGGACTGCTCATGCCAGTGGAACTGATTCCTTGTGGACTGTGTGCAGTAAAGTTAAGATCTCAGTGAGAGCACTAGCTTGACACAGACAGGCCCGACTTCGACTGCATATACAGTACAGTATCTGTAAAACCGCAAACTACTAACACCATCGCTGTATCTGTTTGATATCTGTAATTTATCTGCAAGTACAGTAGGTTAATCAAACATTTATTCAAATAAGAACAACAAACTGCTGTTAAATTGGTGTATTGTTTAGATTTTAGTATTAACGTTTGTTAAATGATGAAATGACACGGGGAAGAGTATTATTAGAATCAATATTTAGTATTTAACATTTTAAATACATTTTAAAATCTTAACTTTTAACCAGATGCTTTATTTAAATGGCAACTTTGTGCTTTTTCTAACAAACAATGCATTTCTTATTATTTTTTCTTAATTACAGAGAAAATAAACAAGCCAGTCTCAAGCCCCGATCACATCATGATAAAGATATCTATAACGATAACTATAATAGCGTCCACACCAACACACATTTCAACATTGTTTATTATAAGCACGCTTTGCATTTTTGTCATCTGCCATCTAAATGCTAAAGCTCTTCAAAACAGCATGGAGTCTGACTGGCTGTCAATCAATGTTTTTATCGTTCATCATTCTGCAACGATGTTATTTCTCTGTGCCGTTAGCGTTATAGCTGTGGTGCGGATTGTAGAACAATTTTATCGTTACAGTTTTCGTCCTTTGTGTAAACAGGCCTTTAAGTAGGAATTTGATATTTAAAGAGAAATTCCACACAGTTACTTGACAGGCGCATCCATCACTCACTAGTTGTGTTGGCACTTTTAGTGTGCTCTGTCTGTGTCTAAGCTGTCTGTAAAAAACATGACGTGATGAACTTGAATTTCCATACTATAGCCATAATGCCAAAAATATGATTTCTGCTGCAAGTGAACTGAATTGTATAAGCTTAGCATATAGTAAACTACCTATAAACCTGCATGTTATTGTCACTGTTTTTTAAATAAAAAAATAAAAATGCAAAAAACTGTTTTTTCCATATGCACTGAGCAAATCAATCATTTAATTGATTTACCAAGCTATTTTGTAATATTCCATTCAATTAGCCACAGATTAGTATTCAGCAGATACGAATGATTTAGAAAACAGACTCAAATTAATAAAACTGCAGAAAAACAATTGGCATCTTGGCATCCATCACCGGAAGTGTAGCATCTTCACCCTGATCTAATTCCAGCAGTGATTTATTAACTAGACCAGCCCACGCATGACTTGAGTTGTATCCTGCTGAGTTGTGTTTTGCTTTCAAGTCAGGTGATTAAAATGTTGGAGAACTTCATCTCCTCCCTCGCGAACATCTGCTGAATCAGAATTCAAAGGCATGTTGCGAGTTCAGTACAGTGAACTCTCAATTTCCACAGAAAATAACATTGACTTATTGACTTTATTTGTTAAAGCAGCAGTGCATCGAAGCAGTGATATAAACATTAAAATACCCACTTCGAAAATAGAAATTTTACAAAGCTTTATCGCTCAAATAACATTAATGTAAGCTCTTTAACAAACATTTTTGCACATTTTTGCTTTTACATTTGCCCGTGTAGTACTGTATTACAACTTGCATTGACTCTGAAGCATTCCAAACATTACATAATATGTGTTAATGACTTATTCTTGAGAGCTAATATAAATAGTTTTGAGTTTTATACTCAGTGGGTGATGTAATACATGTAGGAGTGCGGGATTTTATTCTCTTAACTTTTAACGTAACTCCGCGACTGACCCTGCATGATTCTTATGTGCTTTTGTCGTCTTGATGACCTGTACTTATTTTGATTAGGTACAAAAAGAAAACATGGGGTGGATTAGAGGCTATCTGATCTGAATGAATGAGACGCAGCTGCTTTTGGGAGGAGATTTGGTTGAATCCTCCAGTGTGGGGTTTGTAATGTTGTAAGATGCTGGCATGGGCATCTGGAGTGGCAAGGGAGGCGTGTCCTCAAGGAATGTGGGGTATTTTTTTGTGTAAACTGAACTTAGCTAAATTCTTTGCTCTAAGATGCCACGGAGTGCTCTTATGACCACAAAGACTGTTTTAGGATGCTGCTGAAGTTTGACTGACCATACTATTGTAGTGTAAGCTATTATTACAGTGCAAGCTGCAAGGCTACAGACCTTAGTGTTTTGCTTTAAGGATATGGTGTCGTCTATGGACATTGGAATTATGGGATGGAGCTCCATGGACAAAGTTCTGGCATTGTTTTGGCAGCTACTGCACTTCTTTCAGGTAATAATTTATTCAAACTGTTATTGGATTGCATCATCTTCAAGTTAAGGAAAATGCATCTGCTGTAAATTACAGAAAGATATATGGCTTTCTGAGAGTTAAAGAGTTGCTGTTTGTGTTAGAAACGTTCTAAGCTGTAATAGTTTTTTAGAAAACTTGAACATGAAATCAAAATTGGCCCTGTTTGCTTTCTTAATAAATGTTCCTGTGCCATTATTCATTAATGCATGTTATTCCAAAGAGAAGATGTTTGTCTTTGCAATCTTTTATCACAATCTAATAACTTGCTTCGCATCTGAAATGCCTTTCCTTTCCGGCTGACGTCATCTAGGCCACAAATAATGTTAATTATTTGCCAATTATTTTGGTCATTGTTTTAAGCAATGCAGCCTAATTCTAGGCTGAAAAAGTGGCAAATAACAGTAATGTAATAATACTTTTTATAATTGGGATGCAAGTCCCTTTTCCATTTTTATCATCGAAATGCGTCACTCAGAAATGCAATACATGCAGAAGTTGTTTGCGAACATCATTTCATGTTGACTTTAAGGATAGCAGTCATATGAAATTAGTAATATTAAAGCTTGATATAAAAAGCTTGATCTGCCCTCAACCCTATGGATTTTTCTTTCCTCTTGTTGTCCTGCAGGCTTTCAGCCTTCCATGTTCCAGAAGTCCGTCCTCTGTCCATGTGCAGGTGGCGTTTCAGTGTTTTCCATCTCCGACAGATCACAGATCAAACACCATCCCTCTCACATGCTCACACACTCTTAAAATTAAAGGTTCTTTACTGGCATTGATGGTCCCGTGAAGAATTTTTAACATCTGTGGAACCTTTCCATTGGACAAATGTTTTATTTAAAGTTTCCATTGGCCAAAAAAAGGTTCTTAAATGTTCTTCACACTAAGGAAAATGGTTCTTTTAAGAAATTTCCCAGAAAGATTCTTTGGGGAACCCAGAATGGTTCTTCTATGTTATCTCTGTGAAAACACCCTTTTGGAACCTTTACTTTTAAGAGTGTGCATTGATAATATGTTTGATTAATTGAGCCTCTCCCCCTCTGTCAGCTGTTGAGCAGTACTACAGTGTGTGAAGATGTGTATGAGTGTGTGATGGAGTTCAGAGCACCACAAGTGTCTAAGAAGCTGGAATTCAGTCTGCAATCATACAGTGACACAGAACTACTGGATGCCAAGACTTTCCACCTTGGTAACGCTGAAGACAGAAGCTCAAACTACACAAATGCACATATTGTTTTGTTTAATTAAGTATAATTATATTCTTTGTTATTGAGATTCTGGCTGTGTTTTAATAATCTTTTTGCTCTGTTATTGTTAGTTCCTCTCATGACATCCTCTTTACGCTTGAATGTCTCATCTACGACTGCCGTGTTCAGCTGGCCTACATTAGATGATGGAGATGTCTTGGATGTGTGTTTGGATGAGCAGTGTTGGGTTGCTTCCCATTTTCAGCCATTCCACCAGGTGACAGGCTTACAGCCTGGACATCCTTACAATGTCAGTGTGGCAAAGAAAACATTCGTCCCTCATCTCCAAGTTAATGTTACACAAAGCTTGCAGCTGGCCATAAAGACAGGTATGTGCACAAACACATATGCTGAATAGTGTTGTTTTGTGTTGAGTTGCTTATGTTCCTCTCAAGTTGCTTTGAATAAAAGCATCTGCTAAATATGTAAATGTCTCAAAAGTACAGTTGTTAAGTCGAACCAAAAAGGCTTTTATTGGGCTTGGTGCCATAGGAGAAGCTTTTAAAGTTCCTCAAATAAATGTTTATTCTCCAATTATTTAGAAAATTACAACATTTATGAATGAAACTGTCATGAGATTTGAGAATTTTAGTGAACAACGACTTAATTTCAATCTATTTCTCACACAAAAACAGTTGTATGAATTTAGAAGACTTGGAATATAGTGCATATGGACTACTTTTATGGTGCTTCTTTGTAAGTTTTTTGAGAATATAATTCTATATCACAATAAAGACACATGGACATGCTGACAGGGTCTAAAACTAATTCTAAAACTATTAAAAATAATTCGTATTAACTGAAATTCATTTAAAATTAAATATAAATATTAGATGGAAACACTTAAACGGAAAACTGAAAATTAGAAATGTCTGCACTTAACAAAAATAAGTTGAAGTACAAAAATGACTAAAACTGAAATAAAAAATAAATAAAGCGAAATAGAAATACTGAAACAAAACGAATAAAAATGACAAAAGCACATAACAATATTATTAAAACTTAAACTAAAATGAAAACTGAAAATATAATAAATTTATAAATCAAAATATGAATAAAATAAAAAGTTATGTTTTTGTAATTTTTTTGACAATATAAATCATCATTCACTTTTGCTGTATGAAAAAGTGTAGCTTGGAGATCTGCTTTTGTGTAATCTCCTTTTATTCTCCTAAAAAAAATTGTAAAAAATCTTTCTGATTTAGAATGACAAACGCTTCAAGAAGATGAAAGCGTGTGTATATAGTTTAAGAACACTGATGTTGTGACTTCCTCCTGCAGGTCAGTGTCCCGTTGGCTGGCTTGCTGTGGGTTGCTGTGGAACAACAAGTAATTAACTTGTTTAACAGAATTAAACCAGTAACTTGTTTAAAATATTTCTTCTTGTTCAGAGAACATTCAAAAGTAACATTTCCATAATGTTTGCAAAATGATAAAATGGAATGTTCCCTTAATGTTCTAAAGTTTGCATAACAGTGAAAAAACATTTTTAAAAACTGTACGTTTTGTCCAGAGAACATTCAGAAATAATGTTTTTATAACTTAATGGGAATGTAGCAAAACAATCTTAAAACATATTTTTGTTAGCTGGGATACTGTACCTATTTTAATATTCAGAGTACCTTTGTTGTTACCTAATGCTTGCTTAATACTTTATCTAATGTTATTTGATGCAATTAAAAAAATTAATAACATTAATATTATAACCCTACATAACACTATTTTAACACTAATATTAAATGTAATCTTTTGCAAAGATCAAACTATCAATTTTTACATGGTACTTTATAATGTTGTGATGCCGTAGTTCACTTGACAAACAATTGATTCGTAGTGTTTTATTTTTAATGTATTTAGAATAGTGTATAGAATTTTAATATTAGCCATTTATCAGAATCAGCCAAAATGTAAATAAAAAAAATAATAATAATAA